ATGGCTACGAATAATGACAGTAGAGAGTACTGAATGACGTCAGCAAGAGGATATTCTCTAAATTGTAACTGCTTAAAATGAACAGTTGAGTCAATTTGAACTTATTTGGTACAGTCTGTACTGCCCCTTCCAAGGCACCATAAACATTTGACTAAAGCTGTCAGTGAGTCTTCCACATGTTCTGCATCCTCCAAATAGTGGCAGAAGGGTGGTGGAAGAAAGGGGAGAACAGGTTCAATACATTGCTCTCCTTTCTTCAGTCATGCCTGTCACCCCGGGAGCACTCTGTACGCACATGCGCACATAAACATGGGTTTGCCTGGTGCTCTACAGCCTAATTATTGATTTTTCAGGAAGACATCAATTATGAAATAGCATCTAAAAGGGGGAAATGCCTCTTTGGCAGACCAATTCAGCTTTCTCTACAGTCACTTTAAGTGTCCTGTAAGTCACACCACAGCTGGAACTATCTATGCAAAATGCCCAGAAGTCAACAGGAACAAGTTACGGCCAATGCATAGCAGAAAGAATGAGTGCCAAGTCACAGGGAAAGGGACCACCGAACGAAATATATTTGGATTTCATCTACCTCATATTAGCCTGTTTTGGACAATGTTTATTGTGACACATGTTCACTTCATCTGTACTTGTCACATATAATTCTCAGTTGCTCACATTCTGGGATTATTTTCTTCGCTGAGGTCATCAAAACACCGTTCAGTTTGGTCTCTATGCTTTCAAACACTCATCACCGAAATATCCAAAAGATTTATGACCTACTTGGGCCACCCTTATTTCAAATGGCAAGTAAGTGTAGCAGGAATAACAATGTGAGCTGGAAGCATTTATTTCTAATGCAATATGTAAAGATCCCTGTCTGCATGATGCCACAGAAGAGCAAGTCAAGGGAAGCAAACAATGAACAGAACACATACATCCTTCTGCCGATGTCTCAAACCAGCAGACTATACAGCAGCTCCTGTTCATAATGCCCTTACTTTAAAGCTTACTCAGAGCTGTGACCCCTAGAACCGTCAAACAAAGGTCAGAATAGAACCATGCTGAAAATGGGTCCTTTCCCCTTCTCAACATCCTCTTGCCATGTACACAGCCCCACTCCACTGAGTACAGTGATTATTTTCACTACAAGCTCCATTACATCCCTGAAATTGTAAGAACCACCTACTTCTTCATATCAATGCTTGTGTGAGCCAATACAACAAGACCCCCAAACCATCGATCCCTCTGGCTAACTGTAGTGGGGAAAAAAATGTCAGAAAATGTCAAGAATAAATCTAGCTTCTCTGGGTCTGAGGCAGCTGGCTGTCAGATGTAAAACCCTACAAAACGCCAGTGGCCTCAAATCTTCCTGCCACCACGGATTTCCATAGCTGTTTTGGAACATATTTCTAAGGGAATACAGACACTTACCAGCATAGAACAGCTGCACCACTTAGAAAATTTACCCCTCCATTTCATGCTGGTTATACTTCTCTAGGACATGCACTTTTGTAAGCCACTAAACTCCCTATTAGCTGTGGATCAGTATTGTGTAGAAAACAGTACTAAATCTGTTTGTCTCTGCTGATCAGTACAAGAGAAGGGCAGGGTAAGGAGATTTTGCTGAGTTTAATAAAATTATGCCCACAAAAGGAGGGCTAAGTACTGCTCTACTAACACCAGGAGACCAGAGCTACGCCATTCTTTTCAGACAAACTGAATTCAACTAGAACAGACTCGTTACAATTGGTGGAACCATTTTAATCCCATCCATCCCCTCCAGGATGTACTCCTTGCTGCTTGCTGCTCTAAAACAGGCAGAAGGATTTTTTTTTTTTTTTTTTTTTAAAAAAAGCTCTAACTGCTACCCGAGGAATGAGATACTCCCCCAGGGAGAGCCAGGTGCCTTGCTTTGCTGCTTGTCTCTCAAAAGTTATACCCTGCAATAGACTGCATTTGTATTGGATTAATGTAATCAAAGGCACCCTACTGTCTGGTCACTGACCTACCTGTAAACAACAGATGACATGATGCCACGAGCTTCTATTATGTATAATTACCTACTGAAATGTGACCATTGTAAAAGAAACAAAACCATATACTTCACCTGCTGCTGTTAGTCTATTCTCCAGAGAGGAACAAAGCCTGTAAGCGCCTCAGCTTTGAGCATCACTTTTTTCTCATCTCCCTTCACCGTTTCTCATATCTCCTCCAAATAAGTATCCCTTATACCTGGAACAATCTTCCCAGCTGCACTGGCATGGTCCAACCCTTCTCCGTTTTTGCTTTACATCCCTCTTATATCCTCCTTCTTTCATTCAACCTTTTTATGTCACAGCTTCCTCTCCTCTGCCTGCACCAAGGTGAAAGATACGTGTTACCTGAATGCATCTTATCTGCCCCGGACTGTACTCACTGTGATAGCAACCATATGGACAGATTCCCACCTGATGTAAATCAGTGCAGGTCTGCTGGGGTGATAAACAATCATGAATCACAGAGAAGATAGTGAATAAAGAACACACTTCTCTGATTTCCAATACAAGCGTAAGATCAGACAGAACCTGCTATCCACTAGCTCAAAACAGGACATTAACAGGAAGCAGCTTTCACACCCTGCATGGTCCAGCTGTAGAGCTTCTTGCCACAGGACACTGCAAATGCAGCAGCTGGACACCTTCCTCAAAGAGCAAGGATACCCACTGAGAGTCATGAAATACAAAGAACTCTCCTTAGGTTCAGACACTCCCTGAGCCTTGAGCTGCCAGACACTGGGCAAGTATTCTGGGAATACCAGTGCATACCCACTGTTTTCTTGTATTCTTCCCTAAACATTCCCTGCAGACCACTTCAGGGGACGACACACCAGAATAGATGGAGCTGTCATTAGACCCAGTAAAGAAGTTCTTTATTGACACTAGTTCACACCAACTGAAGACACAGCGTCAATCATGGCTCATGTGCTCCATATACGCACGTTAGAAGAGTCCACGTTTGCAATACTGTATAGGAGTAATAGCAGGAGAAGTAACCTGTACAGAGTATTTGGTGCTCACTAGCAATTAGCTTTTATAGTCCAGTGAACTACAACTACTGCTGCTACAACTCAGTAGCTAATGCAGATTTGTTTGTTGTTCATCAGTAACTCAGAAGCTACTGGGACATGATATTCATGCAGATGTTAAAAAGTTTTCATTACAATATCTGGCAATGAAACAGAAGCCGACTGACATTGCCAATGACAAGCTGCTTATTTGTCTTGGCTTTGCTTCGATTATCAAACTGAGAGTCTATATTGACAAAATAGACAAAAACTGCTTTCCCTATTTCTTCTAATTTTTGTCAGAAGTCTGATGCAGGTCTCCTACCGAATAAGTATGACCAAGTGATATTAGCATTGCCCTATCTGCTTTGTTTACAAATGCTCTCATGAACACCTATATACATCAGGACTGAGTATATACAGGTTAACTTAAACATTGTCCGAGTTGCTGCTTTGTGTCTGAACATCTTCGATCGTGTAATACTGCAGCAGCAAATCCTTGTATTAATCATTGAAGAACAGTTCACATACAAATAAAAGTATCTGATGTCATCATCTGGCTCTTGATATAACCACAGCTAGGCAACAGAAGCTTACAATGAACTGGCTTTTGCTAGATGGAGTTTGGTGTTTACATAAGGAATCTTCTTTTAGAAAGCAATTTTTTTTAGCTTCCAAAGAGTTCTTTGTTTTGGAAATATTTTAGACAACATGGACTAAAGTTTATTGTCTGAGATATTATATAAGAAATAGCATTAAGAAAAAAGCAAAGCCAACATTTCAGAATATGTGATAGTAGACTCTATTTTGAAAACCCCTCATGAAGAACAGTTGGTTATTGGAAATATTTTAAAAGTAATTTAATCACAGATTGCCAGGACTGTTTCCACTCGTCATCTTGCCCTAATTAAGTGAGCTCCAGTTCTTCCAAAAACACTCACTACCAGCAGATATTTGGTCTCACACACCACATGTGAGTGACTGTTTTAGACGTCTTCTCTGCCTGTCCCTTAGGACTTACCAGGAATGAGAAATGAATTGAGTCTATAGTAAAATGCTGCATTTAGCTTCTTGAATTCTTTTGTGAATGAACAGGGGTCTGGTCAATTCCTACTTACCTGGGCATACTTCTGGTTTCAGAATTTACTTTGGGGGTTTCACCACTGCTTAGCAGAGAACCTCAATGCTTTCATTAATACTGAATGTAAAGACTTGGAAGAGATATTTGAAGAGATACAAATAAGAAGGAACAGGTTATTCTCAAGCACTGCTGACAGGAAGCCATTGGTACTGGAGATAGGCTGAATTGATCAGGCAGCTAGTGCTTGAGAGAACATTTCATTGAACGGTGAAAATAAACAGGACCCATTTTCTGTGGATCAGCAGCACTGAGTGACTCAGGCTATCAAACAATCCCGACTTGAACCTGTTGAGGATCTTGGCCCAGCATTTCCTGTGGAGTATTAATCCGAGTTAGAAACGTGTCAATAATCCTCTCGACTGCTGCCTGGCAGCTGGATAAACAGCAATGAGAGCCCTATCTAAGTGCTCACAGGTTAATAGCAGTAGCAGACAGATTAGATTTTGATGCAGCTCGCTACAGATTGCGGCTGGCTGGGTTGCACATGCCAAGCCCCACGCCCTGGAAATTCTTCCTCAGAGCCTGCAGCTGCAGGGCTGCCATCCGCACGGGGTACGGCCGCTTCAGACATTTTATCCCCGTTTCCACCCCTGCACCCCACCCCGCTCACGACGCTGCACATCCCATCCACACCAAACCCACGCCGGATCGCAAAACTTAATCCCCCCGCACCCCCCGGCTGCGGAAGCAACCGGGTAACACCCAGCAACGTCTCCGAAGTCTGCAGAGCAACTCTCCAGCCCCCACGGCGGCCGTGAACTTTCCGCGCGCGTCCCCGTGCCGGGCAGCCGGCCGTGGGCCCGGGTACTCACTCACATGGCGTGCAGCCGGGCCGGTACGAGCGGCGCAGGGACCGCCGCCTCCCTCTCCAGCAAAGATGGCTTTGCGGCTCCGCTCCTGCTGCAAGCAGGCTCCTAGCCCTGTAGGCACTGTTGCTGAGGTAGGAGGGGTAGGCACCGGCTACTGAGCATGCCTGCGCCTCGCATCACAGAGCAGGAAGGAGAGGCGAGGCAGCGGTGCCCCCTCCCCACCCTCTCGCCAGGCAGCAGAAAGTCCTAGAGCGCCTAACGCCGAGGGGCCGCTCGCTGCCCCCGCCCGCCGCCCCCCCCAGCAGCCAGCGCCTCGCCGGGCTCGGCTCCTTCCAGGCAGGAGCCGTGCGGCGGTTATTCAGAGGAAAACCTTTGTGTGTTTCTGTAACGACCGACCTTCTCCCTCTCCTCTCTAGAAAGAAAAAGGGAACTAAGCGAAACGAAATTAAAAAACAAAACAAAACAAAAACAACAACAAAAAAAACCATATAAATATCTGGAGAGGTAGTGCAGGTCAGCCTGTGCTGTCATGGGTGAGTATCTGCAAATGAAAACCAGCAAATTATCCAGATTGTAATTCCTACCCATAACACAGAGCAAAACCAGAGGCAGATAAGCTACCAGATCAACGCTTTGCTTCTTAAATGACTCTGTGTCGGATGAAATACAACCATTGCTGAGTGTCTATGCTCCTGGTTTTGACTTCTCGCAGTGTTCACCTAGCATTCAGCCTAGGTCCAAGCATCCAGTCTTCCTCCTTGAATCCCCTTAGCACTGCCCTTGCACACACCCCGCCCCCGTACAACACAAATTCTGAAGCAGAACATGCTCCTTTGCACTTAAACCAAGGCCATTACGTACTCTAAACTGAGGCCAAGGAAAAATAAAGTCTACACAGTTTTTTAAGAAGTTGGAACTTAATATTGCTGTCCCCATTGATACCTTTTTGTTCCATTTTACTTGTAAAAAGGTAACTCCACCAGTCACTGCACTAACTTTCCATTGATCTGTGGCAGCTAGCACAAGCCTTTAAAAATGGGTATCTACCCAAGTAAGGCAAGGGCTTACCCAGAACACAGAGGAGCTTTCATATGTATCTAGACCTCAGATCTTGGGGTGACTGTCAGGGATAAAGTACATTGGTATCATCAGATCAAATGTGCTTTCTGCATGTGGAAGCCAAAGAAAAGATGAGTTGTTCCTCAAAGCAACGGGCAAAGGAACAGGTACTAGGGGTGAGCAACGCATCAGTCCCAATTTCTAAATTTCATATGAACCAGCTGAATATTCTCATGGAAGAATAAAGCAACCAGAGAATGTGACAACACCCACAGCAGTGGTACACAGCCCAGACATTAGGACACTCAGTTATTGTCTATATCCAGGCTCAGATGCTCTCTCAGCCTGAGTCAGAGGCAAGCCCCCAGCTCTCAGCTCTGAAGGGGAACCAGCCCCTTGGGAACGGTGGAACACCTCAGAGCAACTTAGTCACAGGAACCTTCTCCCTCCGCTGCCTGAGAGCTTGCTCACTTGTTAAAGACTCATCATACCTACTGCACTGGAGGGTGATTCTGTCTCTTCTACTGAAGCTAATTACTTGCATGAATAAATAAGTATCACTTAGGGCAGCACCGTGAGCCTTAGTTTTCTACATTTGATCACATCACTAAGGTCTTCCTCACATATTGCACTCATAACAGCCCGGCTCTGGGAAACTTTTCCTGATGGAAGCAAAAAACACTTCAAACTGGATTTTCTCTACAAAAAGCTGGAGTTTCAACCAATTGACATGCCGGTGATGACAATCAGAAAATTCCTGACTAGCGTTAATCTTTATCCTTCCACAGACCACTCAGCTCAGCACTTATCTAGAATTCCTTCACAACTCCTTCCTCCTGAGGACAGTTTACTTTTCAGATATCCTAGACAGAGATATGTTTATATGACACCCCTATAACACACAGCCACTGACAACACCCAATACTGGGTTCACCTGCTACCATGTATGTTATATCCTTAGTCCTCAAACCCAAACCACATTTGAATACTGAGGAAAAGTCATGCATGGCTTGTGTGGTGAGGAGCTCCTGAGACAGGACCCGCTATCTAGACCTTCCTGCCCTTTCTGTGGTGTCACTTCATGTCCTTACTATATGGAGGGTGGAACAAGTAACTCTTGATGCTAGACCAGAGCTCATAAGACTCAAAAAAATCCTAGAAAACCCCAAACCCAATGTGAAACTGTTTTAATATACAAACTATCCAGAATACATGATACAATGTTTATGCTGACTTCATGCCAGCTTTATCCCAATTGAAGGAGAACAGAAAACACCCACATAAGCATAAAGGTAAAATGTTAGACATGGCCTGCTTTAGCAAAAGTGTGCTGGTCTAGGGATAATGCTTCAAACATTGTGAACATAGTGCAGAATGAGCTTAAGCTAGATTGGTGCACCACATCGTATGGGCACAGCTTGCTTTGATCTGATACGGGAAAGCTCTCAAAACCAAACCAAGTAACATCATTGGACTATGGCCTTGGTAGCTAAAGAAGAATTTCCTACTAGCTGATGAAATCATCACCATTCCAATCCAAACAGGCTCATGATCCTGAAGAAAATCCACAGCTAGGCTGCAGGACATTTTCCTTTAGCCCCACATTCCCTTGAGATTGCAGCTTGCCATTAAAGGCTAACGAAGCCTTTGGTGTAAGAAGAGATGCAGAGACACCCCGTGGTGGCAAAAATAACATGTTCAGAATTAATTCAAACAGCTTAAATTTTATTTAATTAAGACACAAAGCTGGATCAGAAAAGCTGCATGCCAACGACACGAAGAAATCTTTCCCAAGTTGCTAGTCATGTAATTTCTTCTCTCCAGATCTCCTTTCCTGTCTGGCATCTTTTGCCATGTGTGTTTGCATGACAGTCCCTGCAACAAGGATTTTACCTCTTGTTCTGTTCAGTTCTTTTACCCCAGGGGATATCAGCTGGGTCAGGGCTGCTGTGTACTGCTGTGACTGGAGGGATAGCTGTGGAAATGCTCTGTTTCTGGAAAATGGCTTCCTGAATCTTTAGCCTGACCGACCTGGGTAGGGAAATCTATCAGTCTCATTTATAAATTATTTGGTTTGGGTCTTTTTACCCTATCCATAATTCATACTTTGTCCTGAAATCATATTTATAAATACGAAGGCAGCTACAGAGGCACCAATATACTGCTCAGGTAGTCCAGGAATGAAAGCAGTCAACAGCAATCACCAGCATGAGTCAGTTTTAACATCTTGCAGGTACTAGACACCTTGCTAACAATTAACTAGAGACAACCTACAGATACAACACCGAGGTTCCTGAAAATGCTGTCCACTGCCATTACTTGAGCTTTACCTGAAGGAAACATTTTCTCCTAGATCTACAAGTAGGATTCCTGTTTTGAAGAGTCATTAAGTAATCTATAGGTTTACAGACTGACCACATAATAAATCTCAGGGCTAGCCACAGTAACAATATTATTGGTTATTTTGTCTCAAACCCCCCCAAAAACACTATTGCTGTTGATAAGTAAGGAAAGTGAGGGCAATTCATTGGTATATGAAAAGCAATGGTAGTCAAGTTTCACACAATTTAAGGAAAGAAGAAAAGCTAGGCAAATAAATCAATCATTCAAATACTGGGTATTCAAAGCTGATCTGGCAACACATTAAAACATAAAGCATAGGAGGGATTCCCCCTACATCATTAGAATTAATTACACTGGAAACTCAACATAGCCAGACAACTTAATCTTTAAAATAAATTAAATACTATACATGTCCAAAGTACAATTTTTAACAAATTATTGACTAGAAGTCTTTAGAAGAGAGCCCTTCTGCATATCTTCAATTCTTTGTCACCAATTTCCACATACTTACATCTGTACTTTCAATGTTACACTTTCCTCTTGATCTTTTAGACGAGTGAAATTAGTAATAAAAGATCCTGCAGTGAGAGACCTTTGAAGCTCAATTCTTAGAGGTAAGGTAGATTCCTTCCTCCCCAGTTGCTGATTTTATTAACCAGATTGGTCTGCTCTGCAGAGCTTCACCTCTGCACCACTGTATGCATAAAATGGGTCTTGAATTTGCAGATTATTTTGTCACTGATTAAAAACTGAAGGGATGTCTGTAGTTGTGAGGTGTGTACTTTTCTTTCAATTCACAACTTGTATTAATTCCTTAATAGCATAGTAATTCTTGAGTAAGTTTCCTTTTATAGGTCAGTGAACTGTTTGTAATTTCCTTTATAAGTAGTCTTTTCTGCCATTTCTGTGGGAGAAACAGGTCCAGTTTACCTAGGTTCTGTTAAAAAGCTGGGTGTCTCATTACCAAGCATAAGTAGCAAGGTGTGTCACTCCTTGTTCCTTCAAGGTATTTATAGTTTCTTGTTAATGCGCGTCAATACATTATTTTGGTAAATAATTATAACACGATGAAAAACTGTTTTGGGGTGCAATCCTGCAAAGCACTTGCACAGTGAGTCCCTACTGCCTGTGTACATCCTGCTCTAAGAACTGGTTCAGGAGAACTGTCTTTAAAAGGCTGGTTTGAGGGGGGCAGCACACAGCAGGCAAAGAGATGAAGAGTAAAATCAGAAAAATGCATAGTTCAAAATGGTTTTCAATTTTGTTTTTAAGACTACGAACTTTGTGTGACTTGTTTTAGATGATTTGTGGAAAATATTCTGAGCAGGTAGGAACAGACAAGCGCTTACAATCATCGGGGGGGTGAACGCAACCCTCCAAGTCAAGCAACCAAAAGTTAATGCAATTACTAAGTACCAAATGTAGAGCATTGGGACTAATTCAATCAAAGAGGCCAAAGGGATAATTCTTGGAGACAAAGCAATGCAACACGGAAATGCAGACTAATCAACTGCTTTATCAAAAGAAAAAGGAAACAATTTCCAAGCCTTAACTAAAATCCCCTGTTGGTTCTTCATCTTTTCAGGGTTCTGGTTTTTGCTTTGCAGTGTTTGTTCCATCTCACATTTGTTTCACTGCTCCTGTTCTCTGAACAAAATTTTTTTCATTGGCTTCTGGTTCCCAGCTTTTATCAAATGATCCACCTCCTCTCCTGGTTTTCAGAAACTAGCCTAATCATGAAAGAGAGCACATAGAGGGAAATATTTAT